TTGAAAATTCGCCAATTGTCTGACTTATATTCCAATCTACCCTAACTAAAACTTGACAAAATGAATGGATGTTTTAAAAATTAATTCGTTCTCCAAAAGTTGTTCACAATATGCAGTAATTAATGTGTTTACCGTTTGTCAGATGGACTTGTATTATACCCATTTCAGACAATTCAATGCATCTCATACAGCTGGTTCCAGGCTTGGTTTATAAAAAACTAAATTTAGGTAAGAACTGTTACTCAAGCATCTTATGATACATAAAGAATATGCATCATATATAATACACCCCACCCCGGCCCTCGTCACTAAGGGCTCCCCACTTTCGGGAGAACGCGAGCACTGCCCGGGAGGGCTTTCTGCCCGCCCGGGCCCAATGCCAAGCGGTCCCTGGCCCGCAGCCCGACCTCCCGCTTCGACCAGGGAGGGCCGCCCCGCTCCAGCTCGCCCGATCCCGAGCAATTTAGGCAAAGAAAGATAAGGACATTGGCAGCTCTTTGCACGTTGCGAAAGATCAGTTTCAAGTGTAAAATTTAAAACAGATAGCACAAATGAAGAAATCAACAGCATCCGATTGGATATCAATCAAGTAAGTTTGCAGACGTTGTATATCGGGTTGAAACTTCTTACAACGGGTGTGAGCACAAAACTGTGCTCACATATCTTTTTACCCTTATGAGAGTTAAAATTTTGGATTTAAGCTCTTGCAAAATTATGCTTGGGGTTTTTTGAAAGTTTTGGCAAGATTAGTAGTTGCTGTGATGGTTAGGGGGCACAAGGTGCGGAAGGAGGCATTCGGGGCAAGGTTTTCGGCGAAGTGACTTCTGTGAAGTCCCTTCGGGGAAAGGCCTTCGGCGAAGCAGTGAAACTCTCATAACGTTTTCAATGTGTGACGCCTTGACTCAATTAGGGTCTTGTTGGAAATAGCTCGCGACGCTCGTTCCAACAAGACCAAGAACTCTTGAAACGGATAAGGCATTACATAGTTAGGAGCGGCGGAAGTTTCTGATATGGAGGGCCTTCGGCAGTTACAAGCCTTCGGCGTAAAGGTAAAACCGTGATAACGTTTTCAATTCTTAACGGTTTTAGTTTATTAGGGTCTCGTTGGAAAGGGCTCGACACGTTGGTTCTAACGAGCTCAAAAACGCCTGGAACGGATGAGAAATTAGGGAGTTATGACTATCGGAAGATACGTAGACGTTCGCCTTAGGGCGGAAGGAGTTCGCCTCCGGCGGGAAATCCGCTTTCGGCCCTAGATGTTCGCTTTCGGGGAAGTGCCTTCGGCGGTTGCAGGCTTTTGTCGAAGCAGTAAAACCGGCATATCTTTTTCAATTCTTAGTGGTTTGACTTGATTCGGGTCTCGTTAGAAAGAACTCAACGCGCTGGTTTCAACGAGACCAAGATCTCTTGAAACGGATAAGGCCCCACTGAGTTATGAGCGTCCAAAGCGGCTGTCATAGTTAGGAGAGAGTACTTCGGCGTTAACATGTAGAGGGGCCTTCGGCGATAACAGATAGAGAGGCCTTCGGCCCAAGGGTTGCGCATAGGCGGCCTGCGCATAGCATAGACGGGTTGTGCATAGGCGGCCTACCCATAGGCGGCCTGCGCATAGGCGGCCTACGCATAGGCGGGTTGTGAGTAGGAAGCCTGTGCATAGGCAAACGCCTTCGGCGGAAGAGTAAAACAGTGATTACTTTCTCAATTCTTATCGGTTTGACTTAGTTAGGGGCTCGTTGGAAAGAGCTCAACACGCTCGTTCCAACGAGCCCAAGAAAGTTTCAAACGAAGCAGGGATCTGTGAGTTATGAGCGTTGGGGGTGACTGTTATAGATAGACAAAGGTGCGGAAGAGTGTCTTCGGCGGAGGGATGCCTTCGGCGGTGCGCAGAAGAAGATTTCGGACGGCGGATGTTGACGTGGTCATGAATAAAGATTGTACAGGTGTGGCAGTGGCGGCGGCGTGAAGTCAAGCGTGGGTAATAGGACGGCGGGGCATGAAGTCGCACATGGGAACCAGGCCGTTGCCCATCATCGCGGGAACGGCATTCACGCGGGCTGTGGGTGACTCGGCCCTTGAACGTTGGAGAGGAATTTTCGGCCTGGGGATAGAGATCGTGTGGTGTGCCATTGTGTGGAGACGCGGGTGGTATCGGTAGCAGGTGTAGAGTGTGGATGTGAGTGATTTTCACAGGGAAGTGGTGAGAATTATGAGGGGAGAGGGGAGAGTTCGAAGTAGGAGGAAGCAAACTCTCGTTAGTGGAGAGTCGTATCTGAGAGTGAAATTAAATTAGGATCTGAGATTGAAGTGTAAAATCCGAGAGTGGGATCTGAGATAAAAGTGTAATCTGAGAGTGGGATCTGAGATTGAAGTGTAATCTGTGAGTGGGATATGAGATTGAAGTGCGTAATCTGTGAGTGGGAGTTGAGATCAGAGTGGAAAACCTGAGAATGGAAGCTAAGAGTGAAGCGAAATCTGAGACTGAAATCTGACAGTCGGGATCTCAATTTGAAACTGAAAAGTGAGAGTTAAATCTGAGAGAGAAATCTGGTGGGACCTGAAGGTGGAAATTGAGAAATCGACACTGAAATCTGAGTAGGAATTGGGAGTGGAACTCGGAGCTAGGATAGACCACAGCGGCTGTGGTATTGAGGAAGTCACCCAAAGTTGGGTTAGATCTTTATGTAACAAAGAGCTTGTCTGCTGCTCTTGTGGAGATAGCAGACAGCAAGTTATTATTTTCAGTTGTGGATAATTTGTCTGTGAAAGAGCAAGTGTTTATGATCTCATTGTCTTGAATACACTTGACCACATGGCTGAGATCAGAGAAGTTAGATTATGGGAGCTCGAACCTTCACTTGGACTACAAACGCTGAAGGGTGGGGAGTTTAGGATCACAACGGGTATGACTCTGTTATTGTAAGAGTTAGATATAGAGGAGCTTGAGCTACCTGTATAATCATGCTTAACCCATTCTCTATAGGAAAAAAGTCAACGTTATGTAGTGTTATCTTTTGTCACCACATGATGTAACACATGTTCATATATCCTTTCGAGACAAACTTGGGTTTCAAAGAATACACATTCAAATCTCTGAACTCAAGCATTCATCTTCAATTTCCGCAAGCCAACACGTCTACCCAAAACCTATTTTTTAAGCAGTTAATCCTCTTCTCACACTTAAATTTCATAAACTTCCTTCACCCGTAGATGATCTTCATGGAGGATTCCAAGAAGCCCACATTTTCCTGATGATTATTCGAACTAGGCTCCCAGTCACTTAGTTTTATGAAGAGAAATAAGAAGAAAAGAAAGCTTTGGAAAAAAAAGTACTTCGTTTTTGGGGGAAGAAGAGGGTAGGCCCAAAACATGCTCAGAGCTCAGGAGTAGAAAAAAATACAGAGTACAAATTCCCTGCGGGAAAGGCAGGCCGCGAGGGAGGAGCCCGATGGTCGAGCGGGGCGGCCCTCCCTTGTCGAACTGAGTGGCACATGGGTAGTCAGCTCGGAGGACAAAGTTTGCTGTACTTTTTTCTTGCTTTCCAGATCGTTACATTATTCTATATTACTCTACATATCTCGTAGGTTTATATCAAACTTTCAACATTTTGGAAGTTTACAAAGCAATATGTCGAAGAACTGTGTAAAGCGTAAACGAGTACTCAAAGTTCTCAACTGCTCCAAACCGGTATATGCCGTTTGGTATGTTTATTTAATTCTTACTTTATGTTTTTATATGTTTATTTATTTATTTCTTTATATCTTTATTTTGTTCATATGTTTCTGTATTTCCCTCTTTAAATATTTATTTTTTATAATTTTCTGTATTTCTCTCTTTATGAATTTATGTTTTAAACGTTAATTCATTTTTTCTTTATGTATTTTTTTATGTTTATTTATTTATAACTTTATGTCCTTATATGTTTATTTCTCGCTTTCTTTAAGAATTTACTTTTTATATGTTGATGTCTTTGTTTCTTTCTGGAATTATTTTTTACATTTTTTATTTTTTATGCAGTGAGAAATATATGATCATGCATCTGAAGTCAAGCTCAATAGGTTACCAACAATGATGAAATAAAAAAGCTGGTGAAACCTCAAGTCATAGCTGAAACAGAAAATTGTGACTTGTAAATGGTAGTGTTGACTAATCCCCTTGTTATTTATCTTTCTCAAGAACATCGAATGACTTTGAGGAGTAACTATAAGGACACAAGGAATGCTAGTGGTTCTAGTATCTGACTGCACAATTCATATTTTTGCTTGACTCATAGTTTAGATTGCTTTCAATCCAATGCACCTGGTGCTCGAGAAGACTGTAGAGTATCATCTACTTTGGCTTAACAGATCAGTTTGGGTATCTATCCCGGTTCTAGCCAAACAGATCTAAATTGTCAAGAACTATATTTGCTATGATCGTAGACATAACATCCAATATATGGTCCATGATTAACATAAAATTAGAAACAATTTCATATCAATAATTCAGATCAATGGTCAAAAACTATGATTCAGAATCATGAAAAATCAATAGAAAATTTTTAAAACACATTGTTACATTTTTCAAGTTCTTCTCCAGTTTGAAAATTTTGTATTTCTCAATCAAATACATTCAAAAATCAAATCGAAGTGTACAACACTTTCCAAAAATGGTTTGGTTTTTCTTTCCAGACCAAAGAAATGTGATTTCTTTGGTCCTGATTACTTTAGAAAACAGGCTAAACATGATATATGTCCAAATGATATGCATGAAGAACTGGGTGTTTAAAAACATCATTCCACAAATTTGATGTTTTGCAAGAAAAGAATCAAAATCAGTTCATAATCGAAATGCATACGAAAAGTCGATACCTCTAAAGTGATCATTTCGAAATGAGGCGAGATATCGAGAGAACTGAAGTCACAGGTAATAAGAGGCCAACTCAACTCTACACGAGACAAAGCAGATATGCATTCTATATTCAGGGATATATAAAGATAAAGATAGCTTAATTTCCCACAGACGGTTGCTTCTTAGAATGACTAAACAAGTCCAACGATATAGAGACCGTAGATCCTCCTCGGCAGAGATTAAGTATATTCGATCGAAGCAGGTCTTGAACTCTGGAGAGGAAAAAGTCCATTCATTCTCATGCAACATTCAGTGACTTCTCGCGTGACTGTGTGTACACTGCAAAGTGGATGTGGAAGCACTCTTATGTCAGAAGGAAATGTCATGGTTGTGATAGACGGTGAGTGATGGAAGTGAGTGAAAGTTGGATCTAAGAGGAAGACGCCTGCAAAGGCGGGGCCGAGCATACAGACGACACCTTTCATGACATATTTCATTCGATCCTGTTCCACTACTTCGTCGACCTCGGCCTGAAGCCTTATCAATGATTGGGATGCCTCATGACCTCAGCCAAAGCCAAATTACAGTTCACTGTGATTGCTCCTCTGTCGATTCCTCCCAACTCATGTCTAGCATGATATGTCAATCATCTGTTAACTTGGTATGCTCTAAGACAGCATCCATGCAATTCGTGGATTCAGCATCCACCTCTCAATACGCTCTAATTTTGTCATGATGTTCAACTGTTGAAGTGAATAACAGATCGAATTCTATCCTCCATTGTATGTTGCTTCAACACCACAGACGCCAAATCTTCTCAAGCTGGGAAAGAACTCTCTGATTGATGTCCTGTCCAGGAATGTACTCTCTCACTACCTCCTATAGATTCTTCTCCTTATTTTCGCTGATAACCATCGAACCTGAGTAGCTCAAGCAAAATAGAAGCATAGACGTGTACGTGAAAAATGTGTCTACGAGCGCATGGTCTACGGTGACAGAATTGCCCCTTTCACCTTCCGTTTGAACACGTGCTCAGATCCTGATTTCTCTTTGCTCTGTTGGGGATTAAAAGCTCATCTGCGCACGTTCTTTTTACAGAGTGCCGGTCTCATCACAGGGGCATACTCCCACTCTGATAGTTGCGATAGGAGCTCTCGCCGATACTCATGTTAGCCTTGAGACTGAGTGGTTGATCATGCTCTTTCATATACTTCTATGCTCATTCACCTGACGAGAGTACAAGACAGCTTCGGGAGCCCAGCTGCAGTGTCGTCATCTGTGTGCATCTGCTGGGAAGCTTGCTGCTCTTACTCATCATGATGTGGGGAAGGTTTCTCACTGATGGCCATCTCTGAGATCCCGTGATCCCGTGAAGCATCCGATCTTGCAGTCACCTCCGGTTCCGCTGTCGACTGTGAACTCTGTGCAGACTCCCCAAGGCTTCCATATTTTTTCTCCATGTAATCCTCTATTATGAGTGCGCTCAATTCCGTAGTATTTTCATGATCTATGCATTCCCATTCGTCTGAGATGGGCTCATTCACAACAAATTTATCTCTCCGATCTATATAGTCCTCTCTCACCAATGTGGCCAAATCTGAAGTATTTGCTTCATCTACCTCATGCCAAGCCTCCAAGGTGAGCTGCTTCACTTCAAGTTCCCGATCTCTATGATCCGCTCTAATGAATGGGCTCAATTCAGGAGCCGGTCTCGAAGGCGTTGGTGGATCCACATAATTCTCTATTATTGCCATGGCCAGCTATTGCATCAAGGACAGAATCCTTCTTCAGGTGGTAGCAGTATGAGCAGAATTGGATGAGCTTGGATCCAATTCTGCTCCAGATCTCTTGAGCCGAGCTCGAGAAATCTGCCACCGAAGTTTTAGATCTGCTCGAGAAGTTTAGTGTGATAGCACTCAACTTCTGTCGTGCATCGACAACCGCAACTAGCCCGGAAGTCTAGTCGTTCCAGCTCCTCGGCTGGAACGGCTACCGACTAAAGAGCCGCTGTTTTTCGAGTTTTAAAACTATATTTATATATGAGTAATATCATAATTTAATGTATTATGAGTAAAAAAATGTATCAAAATTATAATAAAATTTGAAATAGAATTATAAGAAAATTTCTGAATATTTTGAACAGTTATACGTTTTGAAAACCCTGGTCCGATCAATATTCACGTAGAACACTTGTTCTTAGTGATTGTCTTCTCTTCGTATCGACTTGGCAAGAAATTTGTTGCTATGGGGTACATCATCTCTAGAATAAACTGATACCTTTCATGTAGACGTGGTACAGGTTAGTTATCTTCTTCTCTGAGAATCGAACCACTTTACCGGTCGAGCACAAATGGGCGTGGGGACTGTAACCCCATGCAGATCGTAGCTATCGCAATTCGTTTGGCAATTTAGTAGACATTGGACCCACAACACTGCATCCCAAGATTCTGGAGATCCTCGTCAATTCTGGATATCCCTGCACAACTCCGGACACACATAGTGTCACCAAATATGATACTCCCTTCTCGTGTAACATCTCCAGTTCTTCATCGATCCAGATAAATGTTAGCGCTGATCGTCGATCGTCCCAACTCTGTACTGTCACATCTGACGATGATGCCCACCCTTCATGAGTAGCAGAACGCTCTTCATAATAACAACCAGCAGAATACTGAATCTGCAAAATGCACTAAGCGTATAAAATCGTCTCGATTTTCTTGAATTCTTGCTCCCCGTAGCATTTACTCATTCATTTCGTAGTAGTACATTTCTCCGCGTCGGATGAACTGGAAATTCAGCATCACTTTTTGCCATCTTTGGGCAGTATGGTATGAAGATCTACCTAGAAAAAACCACCCTATCTTCAATAACTATGTGCCAACAACGACGGATTGCTTGCTGTGTTGGCAATGCGGATGTTGTCTTTGTGACAACATGCATAACAAGGATTTTGTGTATATAAAGTCCAGATAATGTAATCAGTTGGGCAGATAGATAGAATTCCTTCTGTTCATATCTAAAATGACTATCAATTTAATATAAGAAGATTTCTGTTTTTTGAAGTTTGTAGCAACATGTTAATCAGAGCTAAAGTTCTTGTTATCTTACCTTAAAACCTGCAACATCCATCAGAAGAATGTAAACTTTCAGTGACAAATTGTGTGATCAAGCATGGTATTAAAATACCCATCGAGTAATCGTAAGCTTTGATCCTGCAGGCACCTTTATTCAGAGTGGCGGCTCTGAACAAAGTTGCCTGAACGAATCTTGTATGCATACGAAAATTCTTGACTCCCTGGATTAGCCTTCAACATACACCTTGATAGAGTCAGATTTACATCCAGGATCAAGAATTCCACGTTAAAGTATCAGCCGATTGTGAAGTTCTGCCTTCGAGTAAGAAAATCAGGCAACAATTTATTGCAAAATGCTTTAATCATTTCTTAAAGTAAATGAGAGAATGCATTTGAAGATTGGGACTGGAGTAATAGTGTCAATGACTAGAAGGATACATTTTGAGTTTATTTCAGCTCATGATCCGATTAAGCAGATGTAGCAATGCTGTTGCGGACGGAGAAGCAATTCATGTCAACAGCGATTGCCATGTGTCTGACTGTTAAGAGATGGGGTGTTTAATGCGTACTCCGTTGGAATTGTCATTTCATACATGCTTTTTCTCAGTACAACACTCATACTCGATTGTCAGTTCAACTTTCGTGTCGTTCAATTGACTTGAATCTCCTCTCGAGTTTCACATCTTTTCACTATGCTCAAATCTGGTCGCCTCTCTCTCCGGGTCCTTGTGGATTCAAACTTCGCTCAGCGATACAGACGTTTTCATGAAAGTCAGTGACTGCTGTCGATGATGCACGTGGTTTAGTTCGTTCTCAAGAGCAACAGAATCGAGTTGGCAGTATCCCTGATTAATCACGGCCAGCGGATTTTGATGGAAATCGCATGTGGAGATTTTGAGAAGTACTTTATTCTATTTCGACCAGTAGAAATTTCATTGTCACCACAATACCGCCGTCTTGTTACAACACATGTAAAAGTCCGCAGTTACTTATCCGGATTGCGTCTGGCATGGTCAAAATCGTCCGATCCCAATCGAATATCGTTGATCAGTAGCATGCAGGTAATTTGTGAACGACCTGCATACAGCGAAGGCAACCGAGTTTCTTGAGCACAGTACATGATTTTATCGACACCCGAACCATCTGTCAGACAGATGATTTTCTTCACAGCAAGAGACTGATTGCTGGAGAGCACCCAAGACCATGAAGCGCATTTTCCAAATCTGCAACTGCCACTTCTTTCTTCATATAAACAATGGATATTAGATCAAGAAGGTGCGTAATCATTCGGCAGCAGAAGCTTGTGATTATAGTTCTTTACTCAAGCGCTGCATTCATTCTTTCGATGGAGATTCTTGAAGAATAGTGTGCAACAAGAATCTCCCTCAATTGAAGCTCAGTGCTCGGTTCTTCAATACCTCAAGGTCCAGTACCATTGTGTGGGAAGATTTCAGGATCTGTGGCCTCAGGGAGCGAAGCACATTGGGAACCTGTTCTAAGCCCTCTGCCAAGGGGGCGTCGAGCAGGCGAAGAAACAGACGGTCTCCGTTCTGACGGGTTCCAATTTGGACGAATGACACATCTTAGTTTGACCATAGCATTGGACGAGATGGACAGTAGATCTTTCTCCATATCCATGCAGAACCATTTTCTCGATCGTCGGGCGTGAAAATCACAAGCTGAGCTCACAAACTACCTGTGATGTGCTCTGTTACCAAGCAGGAATGCCGTCCTGTGAGAAGATGGTCTCGAAGGCTCACAGGTGCTAGTAGTGGACACCTGGCCAAGTGGATAGAGATATACGTCCGGGTGCCTACGGAACAGAACTACAATCCATGGGACATTGGCATACCTTCGATTTTGGAAGGATCGAAATGCATGTTCTACAAGTTGCAACTTCTGCACTTCAAATCGATCACCTTGTCACAGAAAGCCGGACATCTACCTCCGGAGCTGAGACGTATTGTGGAAACGCACTCGCTCAATGTGTCTCATAACCATTCACCGGTACAATACGAGAAACCTCTGTTATCTTTAAAATCTAGAATCACTGGACAATCTCATGTTATATTTAATCTCTGCAGTTAACCGCGAGGTAGCTAGATTTGGGTGTCAAATCTGTCTATCATAAGACTTTTTAAAGTTGATGCACGAGGTTCTTTAGTCTCATTGTATAAGAAAGTTCAGAAGTGTAACAACAGGCTTCCTTTTAGTAAGTTTCGTATGATGATATTGGATGGTATTCCATGTACAAGATCAATATACTAGTTTCTGGTTCAAAATTATTTTACCCTGCAGTTTCCTTCAAGCAGGAGAAACAACAGAGTCTGAAGGCATGTGGATTGAAGACGCACAAGGAAACTGGTTTGAGTGACTTGATCAATACTTGGATATGTTCCTACAACTGTAAATGGAAAATGTCATGAGTGCAGGTACGACAGGGATTGTATCTCCAAGGACTTCCAATGAGAGGAAATGCAGATGTATATCTAGAGGGATTAGCGTTTCTGCGACGCATAAGCTGCAAGGATCTCAATCTCTTGTCTTTTGCTTGGTTTGATTAAGCTGGCACTGAGATTTATCATGATAGATAAATCTCAGTGCCGGCTCTTTGCACTTCTCCATGTATCTGAAAATTTGGATCTAATGTTAGTGTGTAAAAAATCTCTGTCATAATCTTTTCACTCATCATTTAACACAAGATGTACTAAATATTTTAAGATATTTTGCAAATTCAAAACTTTTATTGATAGACTTATTACACTCACAAATATATTTCAAAATTTCCTTGAAAGTATTATATCAATCTTTTCTTTTTCTTTTTTTCAAAATTTATCAGAATAATTCATGAGATTTATTATAATATTTTCTATAATTACTTCTAATAATTTATTTTCGAGATTAATATTACATCACAATATGTATTTAATCTGTCTGGATCTTGTAGAAGCTTATTCATTATGAAGTTGAGTTGAGTACATGCCATGGACAATCTTCAAACTTACAAAACATCAATATCCCACAAACTGAAACTTGAGACTTAGTCAAACAGATCAAATTAACATTTAGTCCGAATGTTTGATAATTGAAATCTAAACCTTGATAGGAAACGAAATAATGATGTTTAGCCAAAAGTTCTAAAAAACATTCCAATTATTTGAACTATGTAAACTTTATATCGAAATTCAATCATAACTAGCCAAATTTAGTAATGACAAAGATAGTCATGGTGAGCTTCTTTGTTTATTCAATTAATATATTCATACAACTACAAAATTTAGCACTTTAAGGAGTAGGACAAATCTTCTCTTTATCAATCTTATCGATTTATCATAAGAATTATCTCACTAACAAATAATGATATAGACCAATGTATCTCATAATCATTCATATCAATAGCAAATCCAAAATAACACTACTTCTTGGATGTAAGATCCAACATGTTCTAATTTTTCACAAGAATGAAAGGGCAAGATGTATGATGAAAAAGTTTTAAATAGTCATAAATGACCATGTGTTTGTGACTAAATTTTGATCATTGAATTAGGATTAAGCGTGATTTATCAAGTATATTGCACTTTTGACATGTTGAATTCAAAAGTTATAAGATAAATAAAATTGGCTCAGCATACTACGAAATATTTTCTAGCATTATCAAGTGGAGATTTTCAAAACTAGCGTTCTGTTGTGGAATATAAACCTTGATGAGATGATGAATATTTGTTTCTCTTTGAAGTAAATTCCAAACCCCTTATCAGTACAACACATGATGAGATGACTAGTATATTGTACTGTTTGCAATAACTTCTAAACTCATAAATGAATTATTTGCCATCATCGATAAATAGATAGTTCACCTTGTGAAGAATCCCAGTATCAATTTGGGACTTTCAACTTTTAAATGTTATAAAGAAACTTGGAACTTTGTGTAAAATTATAAATCAATATAAACGTTAAAAAATCATCAATAAATGATACAAAATATAATTTATCAACGATTTAGACTAAGAATATCCCCAGGCGTTAGTATATATGTACTCACATAATTCTTCGAAACAGTGAAATACCACATATGAACACAATCAAATGATGTGGATCTTTGAATGTTGAAAGCTGAGTTAGTATACTTTCCACAAGGTAACTCCATACCTTCAAGATTAGTAAAACTCATGCACATATGACTGTATTTGCTAGTTCATAGTTCATCTAAAAGTATGCAACCAATTGTGTCCATAAAGCTGGAACAGGTCCCAGTCATAAGCCACTATACACTGAATTTAGAATAATGGCGATGCAGAAGAAGAAAGATCTCGAGGAATAATTACAAAAACCTCATTTCACTAATGGCACAAACTGGTAAAAGTTTCATAAGTCACATTTTGCCATGCATGCAAATTGAGCTTTGGATTCCGTCGGAAAGAAATTTCAAATATACTCACATACATGATACTTCTTAAAAAAAAATCATATAATATTGACATTATATATTTCATCTCAACATTTTAATGTTTAGATAAAGAATTATTAGGGACCGGATATGTCAAGAAAAATCATTCCAAGGGATTGGTATGAATGTATGATTATACTGATTCAAGTTGGTACTACCGTTAGACTTTCTTCAATAATTAATAGCTGTACAATTAATGCAGATTGTTACATTTGGTCTACTCATTCAATGTTTGTTCAATGATGAAAATAAAACTAGAATATACTTTTTCAAATAGTTTAGGTCAGATGTTCAAAAAGGTTTGATTCAAAATTCTGAAAAAATCACTACAAAATGTTTCAAACACACAGTAACATTTTTAAGTTCTTCCCAGTTTAAAATATTTTATTGCTCAATCACAAACATTCGATACTCAATTCCAAATCTGCAACACTTTCGGAAAATGATTTTTTTTTTCTTTCAGAAAAAAATAATGTGATATTTTGGTTATGATAAGTATAGAATAAAAGATAAACATGGTATATGTTCAAAAAATAAACATGAAGAAATCGATGTTTAAAAAAAATCATTGCACGTATTTAATGTTTTGAAATACAGGAATCAACAACTGTTCAAATTCGAAATGCATACAGAAAGTCGATACATCAAAAGTGATCATATCCAAACGAGTCGAGATTATGATAGAAATGAAGGCACAGTTATTTAGGGGGCCAGCTCCACACGAGACAAAGCAAAGATATTCAAAGCAGATAAGATTTTCGAGACAGATATTGGGATGCATCATGACCTCAGCCTAATTCCAGTTCACTGTGATTGCTCCTCTGTTGATTCCTCCCTAATCATGTCTACTAGAACATGATATCTCAATCATCTGTTAACTCGGTATGCCCTAAGAGAGCATCCATGCAATTCGTGGATTTAGCGTGCACCTCTCAAGGATTTTTTCTCTCGCTACCTCCTGTAGATTCTTCTCCTTATTTTCGCTGACAACCATCGAACCCGAGTAGCTCAAGCAAAATAGAAGCATACCCGTGTACGTGAAAAATGTGTCTACGAGCGCATGGTCTTTGGTGACAGATTTGCCCCTTTCACCTTCGGTTCGAACACGTCCGCGTATCCTGATTTCTCTTTGCTCTGTTGGGGCTTAAAAGCTGCTCTGTGCATATTCTTTTTACAGAACGCCGGTCTCATCACAGGGGCTGATTCCGACGCTGATAGTTGCGATAGGAGCTCTCACCGATACTCATGTTGGCCTTGAGACTGAGTGGTTGATCATGCTCTTTCATATACTTCTATTCTCATTCACCTGACGAGAGTACAAGACAGCTTCGGGCGCCCAGCTGCAGTGTCGTCATCTGGATGCATTTGCTGTCAAATTCTTGCATCGCAATATGTGGAAGCTTGCTGTTCTTACTCATCATGATATGGGGAAGGTTTCTCACGAATGGCCATCTCTGAGATCCCATGATCAATGAGTCGTGATCTACATGGTTATACCACAAGCATGCACACAGTACGCAATACGAAATGATGTAATCATACATCCAGCTTGCAACTGCTTCTGAGAGGCTGAGGGTTGCCATCTCTGCCTAAATATCGACACATTGTTCCAGAGAAACCCGTGGCCGCTCTATATGGGAAGCTGTGATTACTTTGAATGTGAAACATTCTTCGAACAATTTAGTTTGAGGATTCTGTACATATTTAACTAGTGCCCGCAATAAATGTTTGCCTAATCCCTACACCAGCCATGTCTGTATCTGGATTACAGAAGACACATATCGAAAAGTACATGGCTGCAATCGTTAAATATATTTCACTTCACTGCTCGTACTTAAGTACAATGTGTTACGAATGGCTTCTGCTTTACTTGTTAACCATACAGAAAGGCACGTTACAATGACGACAAGGCATCATATCCATTTTTATAAAAGCTCAGAAGCACTGTTCTTCCTTTTGATGTTTTGGGTCTTATGTACCATTAAAAACCTAAATTTGTAAAACTCATAATTCCTTTCTGCATCATTTGCTGACGCATAATTAACGAGAGGGTTATCTATCATACTAATCTATAGAGTAAAGATGAGATCTCATGAAAGCATGTAACGTAATCTTCCTAAATGCCAGAAACGAATGTACGAAAAACACACCCAGAATTTATGCAGTGAGAAATATATGATCATGCATCTGAGGTCAAGCTCAATAGGTTACCAAGAATGATGAAAAAAAAGAGCTCGTGAAACCTCAAGTCATAGCTGAAACAATAAATTGTGACTTGTAAATGGCAGTGGTGACTACTCTCCTTGTGATTTATCTTTTTCAAGCACATCACTTTGAGGACTTTATCATCAAGAATTAAGGCGTTTTCAACAGATTTGTCAGTTATGGACCTAGCATAATAGATTGGTGAGTTCGATCTAGATACCCAAACTATCTACGATCTACACTTGACTCTGAAGTTGCAGAACCTCAAGATAATACGTCGAAATGTCGACGTTGAATACACACCACAATGATTTTTCTATCTAACCCTGTGTATCATTGTTGACTACCACCACATTTCTGAATCAAATTTTCAACCATGACAGACGAGCCAGAACTCCAAGGCCACTATAATAACAAAACCTCGGAATAACACGGGAGAATTGTTCTGTGTGTGTGCTCTAACCTTAGACTACACACTACACAGTTCGCACCAAATCTCAACCATGAAAAACGAGGAATCATTACAAGGGCCACTGTTGTAGCTAAGAGCTCGAAAGATCACGGGAGTCTTCTGTCTATGTGTTGCGGGTAGTCGACGTTGAATACACACCACAATGATTTTTCTATCTAACCCTGTGTATCATTGTTGACTACCACCACATTTCTGAATCAAATTTTCAACCATGACAGACGAGCCAGAACTCCAAGGCCACTATAATAACAAAACCTCGGAATAACACGGGAGAATTGTTCTGTGTGTGTGCTCTAACCTTAGACTACACACTACACAGTTCGCACCAAATCTCAACCATGAAAAACGAGGAATCATTACAAGGGCCACTGTTGTAGCTAAGAGCTCGAAAGATCACGGGAGTCTTCTGTCTATGTGTTGCGGGTAGTCGACGTTGAATACACACCACAATGATTTTTCTATCTAACCCTGTGTATCATTGTTGACTACCACCACATTTCTGAATCAAATTTTCAACCATGACAGACGAGCCAGAACTCCAAGGCCACTATAATAACAAAACCTCGGAATAACACGGGAGAATTGTTCTGTGTGTGTGCTCTAACCTTAGACTACACACTACACAGTTCGCACCAAATCTCAACCATGAAAAACGAGGAATCATTACAAGGGCCACTGTTGTAGCTAAGAGCTCGAAAGATCACGGGAGTCTTCTGTCTATGTGTTGCGGGTAGTCGACGTTGAATACACACCACAATGATTTTTCTATCTAACCCTGTGTATCATTGTTGACTACCACCACATTTCTGAATCAAATTTTCAACCATGACAGACGAGCCAGAACTCCAAGGCCACTATAATAACAAAACCTCGGAATAACACGGGAGAATTGTTCTGTGTGTGTGCTCTAACCTTAGACTACACACTACACAGTTCGCACCAAATCTCAACCATGAAAAACGAGGAATCATTACAAGGGCCACTGTTGTAGCTAAGAGCTCGAAAGATCACGGGAGTCTTCTGTCTATGTGTTGCGGGTAGTCGACGTTGAATACACACCACAATGATTTTTCTATCTAACCCTGTGTATCATTGTTGACTACCGTCACATTTCTGAATCAAATTCTCAACCATGACAGACGAGCCAGAACTCCAAGGCCACTATAATAACAAAACCTCGGAATAACACGGGAGAATTGTTCTGTGTGTGTGCTCTAACCTTAGACTACACACTACACAGTTTGTACCAAATCTCAACCATGAAAAACGAGGAAGAATTACAAGGGCCACTGTTGTAGCTAAGAGCTCGAAAGATCACGGGAGTCTTCTGTCTATGTGTTGCGGGTAGTCAACGTTGAATACACACCACAAAAATCTGCACTTCTGCACTAAAACTCACCGATTATGAGAGATCTGGAACTCCAAAGAGCCACATTGGAGTAACATACGAACATAAAAAACACAGGGCCTCACCGTTGACTTCACACCAAACAGTTCTCCACTGAAACTCAACCATGCTAGAGGACCACTCTGGTGGCAGAGAGCCCGGAATGGCACGGGAGAAATGCTGTCCTGTTTGTGGGCCACACAGTTTGACTTCACTGTTGATTTAAGATGTACTGTACCTGGAACTCAAGGGCACTTTTCAGTAACAGAAGACCATAAAAATAAGAAAAACTCCGGAGAAGTGCTAAGTGTATGTGGGCGGGGCGGGTTCTATGCCTTGAATCCCACTTCTTCCATACTAAGTTCTGCGCATCAAGTTACACACCTTCTGTCTGGTCTCAAAATCTGATATATTCTCTAGCCCGTGCTGATATGAAAGGCACACCAGCTAGCTAGAGCCCTCTGCAGCAATCGTCACGAGTCGATGGTCTCCTAGACTTCCTTCCGCTAAGCATAACCCTCTTTGTATCTGATATTGATGATGATTCACGTTGTGGAGGGTCTCCGCATCTTCTTGTTCAGGGTAACCATCGTCCAGCTTTTCGAGATGAAGATGAATTTTCACTCTCCTTATCTGCAGCATTGCTCCTCTTTATACCCTTCTTTGGGCAGGAGGAGATCGAGATCCAGTCCTTGCTAATGTAACTGCTTTCAATGTTCTGAGGATGGGTCATATTTGAACCCACACTTGCAGTCACGTCCGGTTCCGACGTCGAGTGTGAACTCTGTGCAGACGCCCCAAAGCTTCCATATTTTTTCTCCATGATTGCGCTCAATTCCGTAGTCTTTCCATGATTCATACATTCCCATTCGTCTGAGATGGGCTCATTCACAACGAATTTATCTTTCCGATCTATATAGTCCTTTCTCATCAATGTGGCCAAATCTGAGATGTATGCATCGCCTTCCGCATGCCAAGCCTCCAAGATGAGCTGCTTCATTTCAAGTTCCCGATCTCTATGATCCGCTCTAATGAATGGGCTCAATTTAGGATCCGGTCTCGAAGGCGTTGCTGGATCCATATAATCCTCTATTATGACTGCGCTCAATTCCGTAGTCTTTTCATGATTCATGCATTCCCATTCGTCTGAGATGGGCTCATTCACAACGAATTTATCTCTCCTATCTACATAGTCCTTTCTCATCAATGTGGCCAAATCTGAGATATATGTTTCACCTTCACTATGCCAAGCCTCCAAGATGAGCTGCTTCATTTCAAGTTCCCGATCTCTATGATCCGCTCTAATGAATGGGCTTAATTTAGGAGCCGGTCGCGAAGGCGTTGGTGAATCCATATAATCCTCTATTATGACTGCGCTCAATTCCGTAGTCTTTTCATGATTCATGCATTCCCATTCGTCTGAGATGGGCTCATTCACAACGAATTTATCTCTCCTATCTACATAGTCCTTTCTCATCAATGTGGCCAAATCTGAGATATATGTTTCACCTTCACTATGCCAAGCCTCCAAGATGAGCTGCTTCATTTCAAGTTCCCGATCTCTATGATCCGCTCTAATGAATGGGCTTAATTTAGGAGCCGGTCGCGAAGGCGTTGGTGAATCCATATAATCCTCTATTATTGCCATGGCCATCTACTGCATCAAGGACAGAATACTTCTTCAGGTGGTAGCAGTATGAGCAAAATTGGATCAGCTTGGATCCAATTCTGCTCCAGATCTCTTGAGCCGAGCTCGAGACATCTGCCACCGAAGTTTTAGATCTGCTCGAGAAGTTTTGTGTGATAGCACTCAACTTCTGTCGTGCATCGACAACGGCAACTAGCCCAGAAGTCTAGCCGTTCCAGCTGCTCGGCTGGAACGGCTACCGACTAAAGAACGGCTGTGTTTCGAATTTTAAAACCTATATTTATATATAGTCTTCAAAATAATAATATGATTTGAAAGAGAATTATAAAAAAATTTCTGAATACTTTGAACAACAGTAACAAGCTTTGAAATCCCTGGTCCGATCAATATTCACGTAGAACACTTGTTCGTAGTGATTGTCTTCTCTTCATATCGACTTGGCAAGAGATTTGTTCCTCAAGTCCAACACACCATCATTTCTGTGGGATACATCATCACCATGATAAACTGATGACTTTCATGTAGACGTAGACGTGGTACAGGTTAGTTACATTCTTCTCTGAGAATCGAACCACTTTACCGGTCGAGCACAAACGGGCGTGTGGACTGTATTCCCATGCAGATCGTAGCTATCGCAATTCGTTTGGCAATTTAGTACAGACATTGGACCCACAACGTTGCATCCCATGATTCTGGAGATCCTCGTCAATTCTGGATATCCCTGCACAACTCCGGACACACATAGTGTCACCAAATATGATACTCCCTTCTCGTGTAACATCTCCAGTTCTTCATCGATCCAGGTAAGCTTGACGATCAGAAAGATAAATGTCACCGCTGATCGTAGATTGTCCCAACACTGTAATGTCAGATCTGACGATGATGCCAACCCTTCCTGCGCAGCGGAACGCTCTTCATAATAACAACCAGCAGAATACTTAATCTTCAAAATGCACCAAGCGTATGAAATCGTCTGCATTTTCTTAAATTATTGCGCCCGTAGCATTTCCTCATTCATTTCGTAGTAGTATTCCATTTGGCCGCGTCCGATGAACTAGGGCCATGACTTTTTGCCATCTTTGGGCAGTATGGTATGGAGATCTACCTAGAAGAAACTACTCAACGATGGATTGAAATTTTTTTTGGCAATGCGGATGCTGTCATTGTGACAAAATGCATAACAAGTATTTTGTAAAATGAGGTGAAAACTGGATTCAGCAAGGATTCATCAACCAATCGACTCCTTCGCGTCAATAATCTATTATCAACCTTGGAGTGGTTGTACCAAACAAAGCGTACAATTTCGAGCATCTAACCAGAGCCATCACTTTTAAATGAACTATCAATTGCTGGAAAGATGTGTTTGACATGTGTGAACCACATCACAAAAAGTATAACCTTGTAGGTAAAAGGATATATCAGTTGGATTAAATCCATGAGAGCATTTTTTCATAAATGGAAATATTATATATCAAAGAATTGATCTAAATCCCGAATTGTGATGACAACTCTTGGAAGAAGATGAGGTGTCCACGGTGGCAGTGATAGTGGTGGAGGAGCAAACTCTAATCAGGTGTTAGCCCAAGAATCTAGTCATGAGGTGAACTTGGCATCTTGAATGGAGCAATTGGAACAGAAGATAACAAGTATTGAGACTGATGTTACTGGAGCTAGTGTTAAGGGAGTAAAAGAACAAATCATCTAATAGAAAACCATTTGTAGGACATCGTAGTGACTCAATAGCTGATCTTTTAGACATATTATAAATCGGAAAATAGAATCCAAAAGTCCAAAACACTTACAACTCATGTACAAATTTGTTAGAGATTATGAAGTCAAAGAAGATGACGGAAAAATTTCCATTGAGATCACTCAACGACTGTAGTCAATGCAAAAAGTTATAACTCTTTTTAGTATTGAAGCAATCAAGAACAAGTTCCTGACTACATTTTTCACTTATTATCTGAAAGTTTCATCTAACAGTCGAATACATTCATTAGTATTTTCAAAGCTGCAATATCAGCGGAACCTATGATTGAAGATTACAAAATAGCAAACATTGTAAAATAGGTAAAGAAAATAGAGCAAATAAAAGGTCTCCACGTGTATCTGAGACCGAGCTCATGACCTCAGGATATCATGTAGCAACCAGTGGATGAGATTTCGGATGTGGTTGGAGAAATATTGTATATTACTGAAATTTATAAACAGTATCAAAGCTGCTATATACTGGATTTGTCATACATAAGTCTGTACCGCTTCTAATTATTTGTCGCGGTGTTTTCAAAAGGAAAAGCATTTGAAGAGTAAATTGGATGAGATTTCAGTTGAAACATGTTATGAATTCCATTAAGAAATTTCTTTCCCTTACTTCAAACAACCCAAGAAGATTTGCGATCGTGTACAACACGATCTCAATCATCGAATCACAGGTGTGTTTTACAACAGGCAGAGCGTCACCTTTGGAAAGGTCAGTAAATAATCCTATGAATGAGCCATCAACTAAAAATCATTCGCATTCACCTGTGCTACTGTTCTCAAACTACTGCTTCTTACGTAATCGCGTACTTTGCAGACTAAAGTTTCATGCACTTTATGCATTTCTAGGAATTCGAACAAAATGCCCGATAAACCGTTCTACTGTATTATACTCGAGACAGAAGACCAGGACAAATCCACATCACGCAAGAAAGCGTTACGCGTACTGCATAAAGTTTCTGCTTGGCACAGGAAGGCATTGACATAAAGAAACAGCGATCATATAGGAAGCACATAGGGACACTACGTATAACGCAGTAGTTCAAAGCTTTCGATTTTCTATCTAAGTTGGCCCGAGATTTTCGATATGGGCGTCATGTCCGCTCACAGATGAAGGGATCACGGAAAGAGAGGTCCGAGTTTTGGCATGCTTTTAAGGTAGATGCACAAGTCCATGCACGCCATCAGATGACTTTATATAAAGATAAACAATGAGATATATACTGTATGTCGTGATTGTATATATCCATGCGTGCCTGTGGCAGATCGGACGTCTCATACTGTTGGACTTTGCCAAGTTTCTCCTGTTCAGTATATCTGAGCCTGAACGAACACGTGATACTGGTGATGATTTGGTCGGGACAACATGATGAAGACGAGGCTGTGATCACGGACTTCAAGAGAAAATGGATGAGTAGATCTAGCATGAATTGTCCATCTCCATTCTGTCAGTTATGGAGTCTAGACTTGAGTCCCAATCAAAGCATATTTTTCACTGTTTCCACAACATATGTTCAACTCCTCCCATGGCAATCTACAAATGGTATCTTACGCGCAGTTCCGGCGACCAATGAGCAGAAGGGGCCATCAATTTGCAGCGTGGAAGTTGAGCGAAGAAATGTGGGCAATCATACACTGTAACTGAGCTTCTCTACGGTTCGACGTTCATTTTACTTCAGAATAGTCGATTGCCTATAGAATGTAGAGTAGCACATAAGACTTGGTCGCTTCCTCGAGATTCATGTGATATGGGAGAGGCAGGATCATCTCTAATCAAAGGAACCAAGAGGGAAAACAGATAGTGAACAATCCTGCATAAACAAGACTTGATGATAAAACTGCGAATAAGAACGAATCCAGTTTCAAACAAATGAGTAATATACCTGAACCATCTCCTGAGTTAACTGTGATCTGGTGCTGGAAGCTTCTCCTTTGAAAGAAGGTGGAACATAGCAAGTGCCTGCTGGAATAAAAGTGGGTCCGTCTGTGAACAGAGGCATGTGTGACATGGGTGTGAGCTGAGAATATCATATGCATGCGCTTCGTGCAGCTCAGCCCAAGGTCTGCAAGGTACAGGTGAGAGAACAAAACCTGAAGCCTCACACTATATAACAAGCAGCTCTGCGCAGCCAAAATCACCTGACTGTCTTTAGCAATGTCAGTCAGTGAGTCTTTGTTTACGACGATCAGCTCTTCCCCTTGGGAGGTGAAATCAATCATTTAAGTGAGTCCTTAGGCTGTTTGGACGCATCGCCGCAAACAGGGAGTTCTGTAAAAAAAGTAAGAAAGAAAGAGCAGGAAAAAAGTGTCGGGGGTCTGCAGGTTTGGTCCTGCGGAGGAGTTGTTCTTCGAGAAGTAAGTCGACTGGAGCATATTCTTAAATAGCTATTGGGCAGCGATACTCGAGTTTGAACATCGACAGGGTGCTGAAGTACATACAGACAGCTGCAGCAGATTTCATAAGTTTTTAGATCAAGATGGCTCCTGATGTATCATACACATCTACTAGCTCAAAGGTACTGTCATAAGAGAATCATAATTCCTGTTATTTTCAACTTCTAGATATTGGATTTGCGTCTGTCTATTGCTTTTGGTCGGATATATCCAGAACGTCCATGAAGAAGTTTTCAAGATTTTATCACAATGTAGTCGGGTTGTTCTTCTATGCTCTTCCATAAATATCTCGGATATATTCTCTCGAGTATTGTGACCGTTTTTCCGGCATTCGAAGTTCCTCGGCTGACAATCAGTGCGTCCAGAAGCCCATGCTTGCTTTATCCAGCTCTTGCCTTGGGCTTGTGGAACAAAAAAACTTCCCATGACTAGGATGAGCTTCTCGATCATTCTCCTACGGTTCGATTGTTTTTTCAGGTTGTTGTGGACAATGGATATGTTCAAGTAACCATATCCAGACCCGGAGGACATGTTACAGGTATCAAATACGGAGGAATGGACAATGTATTGGAAGATTCCAACTCGGATACCAACCGAGGGTAAGTTCAGCAGCCATCCACCTCTAAGCTACTTAAATGCCATGTATATATTGATATACAAGATTGTATATGTTGACACGATATCGTAGCCTCAGCTAATTTATTCATCTGGCGGAGTGTTCTTTCTTTAGGTACTGGGATCTGAACTGGAATGAGGTGGACGGATCAGACACATATGATGCGTAAGTTCTACGACAAGCATCTGATCTTGTGCTGATCGAAACCTTCAACCTTCAAGTAGACCTCTGTACATGTGAGACGTTGATAGTCCGTAAAGTTGTAAATTATATCCGGGTTTCAAGTTTGATATCGTCTCCAAGTGTTATGTGTCATACCTTAAGTCGGAAAAGTATCAATGAAAACCTCATAGCCTCTTCATCGAGAAACTTGTTGATAGTCCGTAAAGTTGTAAATTATATCCGGGTTTCAAGTTTGATATCGTCTCCAAGTGTTATGTGTCATACCTTAAGTCGGAAAAGTATCAATGAAAACCTCATAGCCTCTTCATCGAGAAACTTGTTCTTCGATCTTCTTCTTGTCTTGTACGCTGTACATGTAACTTCAAACTGTAATACTTTTGCAGACCATCTGGAACTCAATTCAAAGTTGTTGCCTCAGATGGTGACAAGGTCGAGCTGTCCTTCATCCGATCGTTCGATTCGAGCAAATCGCCGGCCATGGTGCCATTGAGTATTGACAAAAGGTATTATTAAAACTGCAGAACCATACAACAACGATGACCGGTGCAGACGCTTAGACAGATACAGACTCACACCTGTCTTGAAGAAAGTGAAGAACTTAGACAAGATCCACATGTTATCGAGCATGATCGCTCTTTGGACTAGCAAATTTATTTAGTTTAAATTTGCTAGTCTCATCAGCTTAAATCTCATAAATTTCTATCAAATAAATTAGCAAGTTTTAGACTGTCAAAGTGCTTGCTAATCAGTCTCAGTACTATACTTCTGAATTTGGTTCTGATTCTTGCCTGCTTACAATTCCTAGTCGTCTGTTGCAACTTGCAGATTTGTTGTGGTGCGTGGGCATTCAGGCTTCTACACCTACGGAATCTACTCGCGGGCTTCCGGATGGCCTGATTTTGACCTCGGTCAAACCCGAGTTTGTTTCAAGCTTCGCGAATCCGAGTACTATATCTGATCATGTTTATTCTGTGCTACTTATTATTCTCGTATTTTCTAGTCTATGATTATCCTTTCCAAAACATCAAAGGCACCATTCCGGATCCAAGTAAAGACACGAAGCTAGCTAAGAAACCATGTTATCGCCGGGACACTTTTTTTCAGCATTCGGTCCTTACGGTCGATTGCGATGGTTGTCTCAGAAGCGATTACTACTAACTCAGAGTCTACGAATGTGACTGCAGTTTTCATTACATTGCACTTGCTGATAACAAGATCAAATTGATGCCCGTACCGTCCGATCTTACCGATGCTCGAAGCGAGCAGCTGGCTTACAAAGAAGCCAGGCTTCTTACCAATCCTCAGAATTCTGCTTTAAAGGGACAGGTGGGAGCAATTTGTATTATTTGAGTTATTAAGAATATGGCCTGCATCCATTACATTGTGAAGAGTCTGCAATTCTAGAATGAAGCAGCAATGTATATCCCGTGGGAGCTGGACGATTACGAAATAATTTCCAGCTTCATGTTTATACGATTTGATAGACGTCGTGAGTTGCTGTGGTGCAGGTCGACGACAAATACCAATACGCTCTGAACAACAGAGACAACAGAGTTCACGGGTGGGTGGCCAACGAGACCGATCCAATGGTCGGATTTTGGATGATCACACCGAGCAATGAGTTTCGGAATGGAGGTCCCACCAAGCAGGATCTAACATCCCACTCTGGTCCTACTTGTCTCGGGGTAATACCGCCTGGACCTATCTAATTATAGTGCAATCCTTTTATGGTGCACAGTGCCAAATGTGCTATTTCAAGTGATGCGTTTGCATACCAGACCCACTTATCAGTTTTGCTCGTTGCGTCACAGATGTTTCACAGTGCACATTTTGCTGGTATCGATCTTTGCCCACAATTCAGAAATGGAGAATCTTGGAAGAAGGTCTTCGGTCCAGTGTATGTGTACCTGAACAAGAAAGCTGCTGGAACTGCAGTTCGTGCTCTGTGGGATGATGCAAAATCAGAAGTAAGAAAGTTGTACACTACGTTATATCATTTCAAAATGATGTGGATTCTTGTTAGCTCTAGAACCATTATAGTCCAGGACATACTTTCTTTCTGTCAATCAAGGACTTCCTCAATTTCATTAAACTGATAAATTATCTGTATGAGGCTGCAAAGTTCACATGTGCTGAACGAGTTCACGGAAATGCTCATGATACTTACAGCTGAAGACAGAACTGAATGCTTGGCCTTATTCTTGGCCCTCTTCGTCCGACTATCCAAAGTCAGCGAGCAGAGGACAAGTCACGGGCAGACTTTTGGTTCATGACAAGTACGGCGACAAACTCCTTTGAATTATTCCTGAACCGTAAAATTTCTTTTCGAAGTTATAAGCCTTATTCATTATTATGTGTATATAATTACAGAATATTGGGCTTCCAAGCACGACACGATTGTTCGAATAAGAACTGTATTCTGTGTGACTCGCTCGTTCTTGTAGCTATGCAACGCCCAAAACGAGGTCAGCTAGAGACGCACTCGTAGGATTGGCAAAGCCGGGAGACCAGGGATCGTGGCAAAAGGAGAGTAAGGTATACAATGTCTCAGTCAGCAGGAAAGTTTATCGTATATTTAATTACGTGTATTCCCAATGCAGACAAACTTATCATTGGCAGACCAAACTACAACTGAATCAGCAACCTCTCAAATTCTCTTAATTAGCTAGCTAATAAGCCTGGATAGCTGGACTCAATTCGAATTTTCAATGTGCGAAGTTTCCGTGTTGTGATCATGCACAGGGATACCAGTACTGGGTTAAAGCAGATACAGAAGGAAACTTCACCATTAAACATGTTCGTGCTGGAACTTACAACCTGTATGCCTTTGTACCTTCCGTCATTGGTGATTACAAGAAAGCAGAAGACATTACAGTTTCAGCAGGTACTGTGATTATACCACTTCCATTAGCCAAGTCTTTAGATCATTTTAATCATTCTGTTGCGTCAATGAGTTGCCCGGCTATCAGGTATTAAATTTCATTTCACCACTCATGAATTGGATTTCTGCCTGTTCGAAGTTCTCCATGTGCATGAGGCAAGGTAGAGGTTGTGTTGCATATTGTTCCCACTTGGTTATATTGGGGGATATCGACATTTGCCGATGATCCTCCAACCTTCCGAGAAAAAGGCCAACCCTCGTCTGGGAGTTGAAAGAAGAGAGCGGAATCGATTCACTTGTGTTGATACGAATGTTGCAAGTTCTCAGGTGCCGGCCATGCATCTCTTTGACAGACGTGATTCGATTGTCGTTCACGATGTACACTTGCAGGTGATGACATAGCTCTGGGTACCGTTACCTACGAGCCTCCACGATTCGGTCCTACATCTTGGGAGATCGGTACACCAAGTCGAACAGCTGCTGAGTTTTACATTCCGGACCCCAATCCAAAGTACCCCAACAGTCTTTACGTTGATATCGAGAAGTGAGTCACGTTGTCTTGTTTCTTTACCAGAAGTCGGGACCATGTTCATAATATGATGAGTTAGTAGCCGTCTTTCTTCATTTGTTGATCTGGATCTTCCTTCATCTTGCAAAGGAGTTACGACTGTGTACATGTTGTGCGTTCTTCCAACCAACGTTTCATCAGCTGTGCAATTGTAAGCTCTACATTGAAGAGATGCAGCTGAGTAAAAACTGATCTGCCAATGGCGCATGAATGATGTCCAGATGGCGCAATTACGGACTCTGGGCAAGATACGCGGAGCTTTATCCATCCGAAGATCTGGTCTACACGGTGGGCACGAGTGACTACTCAAAAGATTGGTATTTTGCACACAACACAAGGTGAGATCATACAGAGATCAAAAGTTCTGTTTTAGAACAGTACATGCACAATAGCCGCATCTCGCTCTCTTCGTAGGTGACGTGGCTGGTAGTGGTAAATACAGACCTCGTGGCAGCCCATGGTGCGTGATTGGATTTGGTACCCCAGATAGTGAAGGATGGAGTAAGTGTAGGAACTCCAATGTCTCTGAGTTGAAACAATCTCCACATTATCGGAAGATGATTGAGAGATAGAACCTCCAGATATGTACTTTCCATCACAACAAGAGTATAACCCGCAATTGCACGCATGAAGCACTTCAGATTCCACACTTTGGATTAAATGTGTATCTTGTCACTGAATATACAGGCGACAGTCCGACGGGACATACACAGCGACAAGATGGCAGATCAAATTCAGTCTCCCCAGCTTTGACGAGAGCCAGGGTGCCTATAAGCTCCGTATGGCAATCGCCCAGGCACAGATAGCAGCAATTCAGGTTAGCAAAGGACAACAATTGATTTAGTTCACATGAACTTTACTCCTCGTGTTTTATCATATGAGCTTCTTGTCGCACAGCTCATGTGTCTTCGATGGAAAATCTCATGGAAAGTCAAGAAAGCTTAGTCTCTGCCGTGAAATGGCTTAGACTTGTACTGAAACACTTGTATGGCTGAATTCTAGTTTCTGAAATCTGAACCCGTCTGTCCTATTATAGGTCCGGGTGAATGATCCTGCAGCTAAGCCTGTGTACGAAACCCCGGCATTCGGCAAAGACAACGCTATAGCGCGGCATGGAATTCAGGGTTTGTATGTGCTCTACAGCGTCGACATTCCAGCAGCAGATCTGAACAAGGGAGAGAACAGTATCTACCTCACACAGAGGAAAGCTTCCGGCCCATACAATGGGGTTATGTACGACTATCTGCGCCTAGAAGCACCACCGAGCTAGAGGCGTCATCCATTCGACAAGAGTAACGGAGTCATGAGGAGCGACCCCATAACACGATGTAAATAGAGAAAGGGTCAGTGACAGAGATAATGCTTTCGAGACGCAGCTCAGATTCAATCAAATGTCCGTTGTATATACTGAGATAATCACGACGGGGCCTCACCTGGAGGAAGCTTCTTGAGTTCTTCCAATTCAGCCAGCAGCTTATTTTCGCAAGTAGCTCGGTTCAGTACAATTTGGGATCGTAGTGCGTCCGATCAATCCAAGTTTTCAGAAAAGTCCGGACAAGCGCAGTTGGTCGGACACTAAAAAGATAAAATCCTATTGTGGACAAATTGCTCTTTTGTCCATTTAGTTATCTGAAGACGAGATGGAATGCTTCATTAGCTGAATAAGTTAGGTAGTCAACGGTGGCAGATTCTATACATTTTCCTCACTGGTTGCACATGTACAGCTATCATTAAATCTACAGCTCACCGATCTTCAGTACTACTTCAGTTCTGGATCTCGTCATGTGTATATTGAAATACCACTGTGCATGTATGTCTGCATCATCGTTTTGTTCTGAACTGAAGAGTATCTGCAAAAATAGTAACCACAGAGGTAGATATGATTAAGCATTATTGCCGTCCTGTTAAGTGGTATATAAACCCGACACCCAGGAAGTAATTTTTCTCCAAGGAAGACGTATGGATTAAGGACTGCGTGTCGGAAGTACAGTACTGCTCAAGCTGGACGGTTTTAGCCTTCTATCCTTGTACGGCCAAATTTCTTGGCCCACGTAACGGAGTAGGGATCGAAAGTTCCTGAAACGCGCGATGGAAAATCGTATTTCATGAGACTTCAATCACTATAATATTTTTTAAGTTATAACTTATTATACAGTTTTGTTCTTCTGGTTGAGCCGGCAAAAACGTAGCCGTCTCTGCAGAGAAAGCATCCATGTATTGAGTCATCCCGTTCAGACCATGATCGGTCATCTGCGTTGCATACTTTTATGGATTTTCTTGCTTTTATTTTCTACTTACGCTGTCGCAAGTTGATGCTCATAGTTGCGCATGTGGAATCAATGAAAGAGAACCGAACTCTATAATCTCGAACAATCCGGGTATTAATCACAAATCGGCTCTAGAACACAGGCTCTAATAACAACCTGTGATAAGAATCGAGGGCAAATAAGTCATTTGAGGTTACATGTCTCCAAATTTCTCTCTATGGTCTGGTTTTCAAAAACTTGCTATATTCCAGCTACTTGCTAGACCTGTCTAGTCATCAGTTTCTAGGATGGAGCAAACTAGAAACATCAGAGTTTCTAGTTTGCTCCTTTTCGTTTCTGAGATGTTTCGCAGTTTTCATTTTCATGAATACTTGATTATATCGATCAGAGGATCGTAAAGTGTAGCGGTACCTGCCACCTGCACACCCGATTTTCTGTTGCCCGCATCTTACTCGGATCATACGAGTAGAACATGTTAAGAAGTCCAGCTGGGTTTGCAAATGAAAAATGACAAAGTTCCCCGTGGAAGAACAAAGTGCGTATCTACTTTCTGAAGAGCTCTCCTTTCGTATATACAAGCTTCGAAAGGAAATTCCTGTTTCCAGTTCATGATCACTTCAAGGACGATTCTTGTGATATCCATCATTTTCTAGTCTAATAAGACGCTTGACATCAGAAGCGAGGAGACTCTGTCAGTTAAACCCTCAGATTTATTTTAGTTTCGACCTGTGTCTGAACGTGTTAGCACACAGATAGGCATCACCTTCTGCTTCTTGCGTGTCAGACATGTTTCAATTCTCGTTTTTCTTTGTATGTAGTGTGGAGCGTGAGTAAGGTGCTTAGAGCTCGACGTGTACCTTCACTAGTTGAGTATAACAGCGCAGGAAGTTTTCTCATTCTGTAGGGCTAGTGCAGAGACTAGAGACTAGAGTTTCTGGAAACTTAGTAGTTTCTGTAGCAGGCATACAGTAGAGTTAGCGCATAGAGGCTCAGGGAACATGTCAAGAGTGCCATGTGTTGAGTGATTTTTGGCGAATCTGATCATGTCTACACAGCAGACAATTCCACATATTTACTCGTTTCTGGAATCGAGTTGAACTCTGTTGTATTGTGCTGTATTTTTGTGTTTTGTTCCGTTGAAGGTATGTACGGGAGAGATTCTGGATGTTTTGACGAGACCTACCACTTGGAGTCGCAGCTTTCGGGATGTGGAAGAAGAAACGGGACCTCTCAGTAGTTCTCGTCACGGACTGACTTCCTGCCTCTTGGATCCAGTGGCGACATGCGACGGAGCAAAAGACAACATGAAATCTGACGATACAGGACCGAAATTATTTGATTTCCGCTGTGAACTTAAAAAAAGATTTACAATTGACAAGTCCGTTGCCCTCAGTCGGCCAGTCTAAGTTTAGTCTCTTGGTGTTCGATGCCACAGAGCAGACAGTCATTCCGCTTAAGTCTGTGATGGCTCACCGTTTACAGATTTTGAGATGGCAGCAACGAGATTCTTCAGATGCTGATGAGATGATCCACCCTCTGCCACGGTCGCGTTCGCTGCCTCCTTCAGGCGCAGAATGTTCTGTCTCAGTGATTGTCTTCTCTCATCATCCATGAAAAGTCTGATCGCCTTCGTCACTTCCTGCCCATCGACGTCGCCCACTTGGCCCTTATGCGCGATCAGAATGGCAATCTTCGACTCCTCCACAATGAATCTGCAGGCAGCAGCCATTGAAGCACTTTAGACTTGTATAATCGAGACCCGACGATGGGCTGAGTCTTCAACACAAGCAGCAGCAAACAAATCGGGGTTTCTGCGCTGCTGCAACGGATTACCTCGCGTTCAGGGCTTGCTCTGCATACATAGGACAGGCCACGATGGGAATGCCGCCTTGAATTGCTTCCATGATGGAATTCCAGCCGCAGTGCGACAAGAAGCCATGAACAGCGGGATGCTGCAACACCTCCTCCTGCGGCACCCAGCTCCTCACGACGAGGCCTCGGTCTCGCGTTCTCGACTCAAAATCCTCCACGACAGCCTCGGCCTCGTGATCGCCTTCCGCCAATCGCAGAGCCCACAGGAAGCGAGTTCCGGTCGAGCCCAAGGCTTCGATGAACGCCGATCTCAGAGCTGCTGCCAGAGGCAGAACACTCCCGAAGCAAATGAAGAGCACGGACGAATTTGCCTGCCGGTTCAACCACTCGATGCACTCGTGCGTCACCGTGGGAATGCTCTGCTTCTCGTCGAGGCGGGAGGTGCCCACCAGCCGCAGCGGGCCGATCGGGTACACTTTCGGCTTGACCTGTTCAAATGTCGAACACTCCTCGTTACAGGCCGTGGAAGGTGGAAGGTGGAAGGAGGAATTGAGAACTGAGAATTGAGAATTAGTGAAGGAAGATCAGCTCAGATGAAGAGCAGAATTACCCTGCCGGGCTGGACATGAAGCTCGAGCTGCTGTGTCAGAATGTTCTGCTGCTTGCCATCGTACTCCTCGAAGGAGTTTATGATCACGGCTGCGCTTCTTTTGAAAGCATCCGAGTGCTTTCGGTAGAGCGTCGGCGTCTTGGCAATAGTTTCCGGAATGTCAGCTCCGGTAAACATTTCGAGCCCCGGCAGATTTATATGGGAATTGCTCTTGGCTGGATTGCTGTAACTCCAGTTCTCGTCGAGCAGAGTTGGCGTGTGCAGCAAGCAAAAGGTGAAGGCACATGCTGAGGTGACGAAATTGTACATCGGAATCCTCCATTCATCTGCAAAATCCTGTGCAACACAGGGAACATCAGAAGCCGACCTTGACATTTCATGCCATCTGATCTGATGGAGTGCTGGGTTGTGCTCACGACTGACGATTTCCAAGCAGAAGGGCCGGCTAGCAAATGCCCGCAGAACGAAGAGAGGGCAGAAGAAATCTGAGCGTACGCACCACACAGACTACTCCGACGAACATGTCCACGATCACGCACGAGACGGTGGGCATTAAGAGTGCGAGTTTGTCCTTGTACTCTTCAAAATCCTCGACCATACGATCGACGGTGCGTGTCGTGTTCGGAATATGAGTTGTATCTCTGAAAACCTCCACGATTTCAACGTCGACGTTCTCGAATTCTCCCTTTTCCAGGAGAATCCTCAGCTCATCAGCACGAATTTTTGTCAGGCACACAGTGAGATTGATCCCGTGAGCTGCCAGCGCCCGCATCAAGTGCACGAAGGGAGTCCAATGTCCCTGCGTCTTCATTGGGACCAACAGGGCTCTCGGAGATTTCTCGATGGACGTCATCTCTCTCTCTCTTCTCTCTCTCTGACCTCGAGATGCTCCTTGAGAGGGTTTGACAAATACAGCTGATCGATTTTGGCAATTCTAGTAAAATTCCTCGGCAGAATCTCGGGTCATAACCGGAAGAATGGTCGTGAAACGAATCAGGTCACTCGCTTCACATTCAGGTAAAGAGAATGTCGGCGTCGACAATTGACTCGCCGAATCGCAGTCACTGGAGCTGCCTCGGTCTTCCGCTCCTGGTCTTCGACGCTCGAATTGCGTCAGAGACTCTGACGCAAGTACTCTGCGAGAGTAGAGACATATGGAGGACAAATTGGAAGATTTCCTCGTAAACTACGACCAACAGAAAATATCTCTGTGCTTTCGCACGTGTGAACTTTGTCATAAGGTGGTGCATGTTTTCTATGGTTACTATATGTCCTAACATGTAGAGAAAATGCATGCTAAGTCTATAGAAAAAGTCCACAATGAGGTTTTTTGATTATCTGGAAGAGTATCTGAATTTTAACTGATCGATGTCAATTTTTATTCCCAATCACTAAATTTGTCACTCAAACTTTTCAAAAAACAATTCAGATATTTTTTTAGCCCATTGCACTTGTGCTTCACTGATAATCTTTCATTGATAACTATCCCAAAAAAATTGTTAATTTTGTCAAGTTTTCTTTATTTAAAAATTTTATAGCATAAAAATTAACTTATAATCTAATTTAACTTCTCTTCGAAAAAATCATGTATGTTGTTTCATTCACTTGGAGTATTCATAGTTATTTCTTCAAACTTCACTTTGAATAGTCTCTTTGAATCTCACAAATTTTATAACATCTAGTTCTTGAGTTATTTTGATTGTCTTCACTTTCCAACCAAATAAATCTTTCATTTTTCCTTAAAGTTGGAATTATCCACACACTCTTTTCAAAATTGCGTTCTAAGCAAACATAAATAGCAAATATTTAAATCTGAGATCCTCATTCTTGTTTCTTATTTGTGCATTCTGAACTTTAAAATACCATAATTTACTTTTGAAAATCACATTTTGGTGAAATTCTTAACAATATGTAGTTTAGCTCTAGATAAAAAACATATAAATTTCAAAGACTGCATAAAAAATTTATTCAATTTTATTAAAAAAATTCAAGAGTGAATTTTTTACTTTTTAGTTTCACTTCACTTTTAATTGTCAAAACTTGTTCTAAACACAAGATCTAAACATGAAATAAAAACTAAATTAAACACAATTTTATCTTTTATAGTCACACAAATTCTTGAAATATAGTTTCAAACATAATTTTATCGCTTGTATATCTAAATGAAATTTCAAAATCAAAACATAAACTTTTATTTATAGACTATTATACAAGACCATTTCATAAAAATATATATACTTCAGATTAAAAAATTTCAAGAAATTTACTCGATGAGATCCATCCGAATGCAAAACATTTGACTAGATCCAAAACATTTGACTAGATCCTGACGTTTTATTTCAAAAAAATTGACTATATCCGGAAGTTTTATTTTATCCGATGGGACTTCTCCAACTGCTCACAGTCACTAATGTTATCCTACTAGTTCTTGTGACGTGTGTTCTTGTAACATGTCTTTTTTATATCGAACGTGTAGTTGTCAACAAAGTTATAGTTTAGTTTTAGCAACATATGATTATTTTTTGGTGGGTTTGGAGATCTAAAATCTGAATAGTTATTAATTCTAGTTTATCATAGTAGCTCCTACTACCCTCTAGCAATGTTGGATGAAATCAGAATATGAAATTTGTGATTCGCAATTCGCATGCTATATGCTACGCAATGATCAAATTGCATGATCAAGCTACACCAAAAAATAATTATCCTCCAGGCTCTTCCCTCACTTTCCGATCGACCGGCGGTTGTGTTGCATTAGACTGCGTGATGTTTAGAATCATGCTCAAATCAATCGTGAATGAATCCAGTAGTTGAATCATCAATGGCGGATCCCATTCCCAGCTCACTTCTACAACCAAAGGAAATATATAGTTGAACTCTCAATATATGAACTTGCAAGAGACGGTGGGTTTAAGCCTCGGCAAGATAAGGTAACACTTTAGGATTATCCGGTAAAAGTGTAAAAGGTAAGAGTAAAGGTAATACGTTTGGCTATAGGGTAAGGGAAATGTAGGGTAAAGGTAGAGCCTCGCGGGTTACCCGGTCTTTACCGGGTAACCCATGAAAACAAAAAACTATAAGATTGTCACTGCAGGCTCAGAACGAGTCCGAAAAGGAGACTTTGCGTACTACCATACGAGCTGGAATTGACTCGATCCGCGTCTTCACTCTGCTAGGTTGCCATGTCCTGTGTGGTCACGGTCTCTAAAACCGTGGCGAGGAGTGATGAAGTGGGTTTCGATAGGGGATTTCTCGTATATTATTATTGTCATCACAGTCCCACTGGAAGTCGCACGAAGAACGAGGGATTCCGCAAAATGCATCTGAAATTCGATAAACTACAAGGGCTCAAAATTTACACTTACGTTCAGTTGCTTCAACTGGCTGCTCCAAAGACTCGCAACTGATTGAGTACTATCATTCACAATCCATAGCTCGATGGAAGAAATGTGTGAATCAGTCGTACATCAGGACAACCGTGAGACGAAGTTGTCATTACATGCTCCACGTCGATGGTCATGTCTACAACACTTCATCGTAAAGTATAATTCGTGGGAATGAATCAGATTGACTCCATGGCCAAGGTGCAACTCACTGGTGGCAGTGCCTTCCCACTCACTGGGTTTTCATAAGAGCGTCACCGGAAACGGGCTCTACAAGTCCAGCCCCCCACGTCCAGTGCGCTGATCGAGCAAGACAAGGATTGGGTGCGACGGGCTGATTCGGTAAATTCCTGTCAAGGTACCTTTTAAATTCGTACCAGGTCACCGGGTAATTACCCTGAGGTAGAGGTAAAGGGTAAAGGTAGACCATAGTGCTACGTGTAAGGTTAAAGGTAGGGTAAAAGTAGGGACCCATACCTTACCCGGTTAACTTTTACCTTACCTTGTCGAGTCTTAGGTGGGATGCAGGTTAAGGATGCATGATTTCATCGAGTAAAATTAATTTTTTAGTATCTTGTCAAAGTGTTTTACGTTCCAGTAGGTCTCATCAAGTATTTTTCTCATTTTTTTTTCTCATTTTCAAGAATCAATTTTAAATGTAAGTATATCATAGTTGATTTTCTCTTGCATGCATCAATTTCAAACACAATCTTATTATTCATTGTTCAACACAAATTTTCAACAACATTCCAATTTACTTCAGAAATAAATGTTTCATTGAAAATATAAAAATATATAAAATTTAGTCTTAATTCATGACTTGAATTAATCTCTAGTCAATCTAACTCAAGTTTACTTTAGGATTTAATTCTAATTAAAATTAAAATTAAATTTTTTGCTACCCACTATATGTATACAAGAGGAATTGTTAAAACTTGCAATGAAACATTTTGTAGGTTTTCAATGAAGTTTTTGTTAGAGTGGCAAATCATATATATTCTTGTCAACGTAGTGTTTGTGAATTTACTATATAATTAGTTGAAAGTGATTAGTAACAATCCTTTCAACTATGAAGATTGTCGTGCGAATACATATCGCCATACACTCTACATCGCTGACATGCTACTCACATACACATACGCACACACATACACACATATAAGGCGCGAGAGAGTACACACTCAAATGTCACAACTGAAAAGTACGGAAAATTCCCCACTGGAATTCCCGTCGGTCAATTACCCTACTGGCAACAAACCGTCACCGTCACAAACATGAGTCAAGCCCAACCCACTCCACACTCGGAGAATCCAGGTCGACGCAAAAGGGAAAGTCACTCTACGCTCCCAACGCTTCCAGGCTCGACTCGAAGAACTGACGTTCTTCGAGCCGTCCCCGACTCTATACCCCTCGTGACTGGAACCCTAACTTTACGGCTAAATATAGTAAGTGTCTGAACTTCGTGAGCCGACTCGTAACTACATGACAGCTGTCGTGCGAATACATATCGCCATACACTCTACATCGCTGACATGCTACTCACATACACATACGCACACACATACACACATATAAGGCGCGAGAGAGTACACACTCAAATGTCACAACTCGCCCCCCTAGCTGGCGGTCAGGTCCCTCTGACTCCCAGGTAGCCCCATCTACAACTACATGCTATACACCTTCGTGGGTGCGCGAACCAGTAGGCCGGGTGCTATGTCGCCCCATCGTTAGTCGCCTATCTGCAATTCATAACATGTGAAGATCAAGTCATCTACCCCTATGAAGTACATCGAGGACAAACCCATCGTCCAGCCGGAATAACATCGATAGGCGGAGTTAGGCACGACATGTGCCATCCCCTAGAGCACCTATCACACACCAACATACGGGCCGCCTGACCAGCCGACCCACATAGCATGCACCTCAAGCTAGCACGTACTATCGCTAAGCTTGGGTCCATAGTGCCATCTACGTTTGGGAGGTGGCATGGCGCACAATTGCGCACATGATCCTTCCAAACAACGCCGTCACGACCCTCCAACAGGAGAACTCCAGAAGGTAACACCTCCCGCACCCGCAAGATGGTGCGTCCCGCCGTCACATCCAATGTCGTCGGTGCAGTCTGCTGTAGATAGACGTAGTCTCCCACATGGAATCTACGAATTGATGGTCGATAACCTCCTCCCCGAATGGTTGCATACCGCAACGTATCTCTATGTTGAGCAATCGCAAGATTCTCAAACGCTGCAGGCATAACTCTTCGAAAGAGCTCTGCACGTTGAGAACATACTCTCACCCACATATTCGGGTCATCAAGGTTCACCACCTCGCTAGACTCACGACGAATCGATGTTGGCAAGTCTGGATCTCGGCCGTACAATAGAAAATATGGTGAGAAGGAAGCCAAGGATGCCTGCCGACTGAACCGATATCCCATGGCCAACCACGGTAACTGGATATCCCAGTCCCCAAGATGACCTTTCTGCAGGCCATACTTGCGCAACGCCCTCTTCACCGTCTGTACAACACGTTCAGCTAAACCATCCGCCTCTGGATGATCTCGCGACGTGGTCCGATGATCAATCAGTGCCTTGTCGCACAAGACCTGAAACTCACCCTGAAACTCCGTTCCCTGATCGGTCAACACCTCAGCTGGTGCACCATAGTGACTAAGCACTCTGTCAAGAAAAGCATACGCTACTCCCTCACTTGCCTTGTCAGGTAATGCCACCAACTCAATCCACTT